ATCTTAGGTATTTATTGGCTTAGAATAATCAAACTGTGTAAGTTGATGCATTTTGGGTTTTCCAAGAATGTAGACCAAGAAGTAGTCCTAATTGGCTAAGAATCATCAAACTTTGTCAGGTGGTGCAACTTTGGTCTTAGGATACTTAGGGTTAGAGGCTTCAAATACAAGTGATAGATTGTACAATTTATCAGAAGAGCGATTCAAGGCCCTTGGGCCTCTTGTACTGAATGTCTTACTGATTAAAGACGTCAGCAAACCCCCCCCCCCCCAAAAAAAAAAAAAAAAAACGTTGATCGTCTTTACGTTGTTTAGAAAGCTTTCACACTCACCGGTTCACTATCTTTGTTTGATACTCGAATTAGAGTCATTTATCATATAAAGTTTCGTTATTTCTGGCTCGCAAGCATGTTTCCTACACTCGCAAGCATGTATCGTCTGTCGTTTGTTGTTTTCAAGTAAGTTACATTGGACGCAAGCTTAAACTGACGTCAAGTTAATTCCGGTTCTTTCAAACGCGCAACTGACGTTTCGAGAATTCTACGGTGAACCGTACGCACATAATTTCCACGCATGTGGCATTACCATTGTGTTCCTGTTGTCACGTGTGTTGCTAAGGCTCAGGGTAATTGAACGGATTGTTAACTGCGTCTAAACCAATCAGATCTTAGTATTTAACATGAAAGTATAATAATACTCAATATCCCCTTGGTCAATAATTGTTCAATTTGTCAAAAGGTATCCTTGGTCTAATGGCTTCCATCTGTTAAAAAAAACACTGGGTAGTGAACCTTAGGCAAGGGGATATAATTAGAAAAAATGAAACAAAAATACTGGTTGCTAAAAAAATCTCTTCTCAAGAACTGATGTTGTAGATAAAAATTTGTCTGTCGGAGAATTACCCTCAGGCAAACAGCATGGTCTCAAGGTCTCTTCAAAGTTGTCCAGAAATTACTTAAATTTTATTAAAATGTTGATATTTTGCTTACTATAAGGACTTTTTGTCAGTTGATGCATCTAAGGACCTCATTAGTCATTACGTTGACTTAAAAGTAGGTAAAGATGACTTTATAAATATTGAGACCATTCTTTTTCAAAATGATTTAGAGGCATATTTTGAACAATTTCTGGTCTATGCTCATTAAACTTTCTTAGTTGATGCATCATAGGCAGGTTTGTGGATAACCACTTGCCCACTTGCAAAAGCAGGTAAAATTTGTGTGGGTGATTAGATATTAAAAAAGAACCTGCGTCGAAGATGAATTCTGTTTATAACTTTCAATAAATTAAAAATGGTTTTCATCTTTTTAAGAGGAATGAAGTAAAAAAATTTTAATATTGGGAATTTTTAACAGAAATCATTAATTTTACAATTTTTTTTCAATCATCTCAAGTTTTTGGTCTTAGTCATAAGTTCTTTTTGTAAAAGGGACCACTGGTTGCCCAAATGGAGAATGATTTTTCCCCGGAATACAATCAAATTTCAGTTTTATTTTTGATGTACTCTCAGTTTCAGAATGAACGCTCTACTAACCTAGATTATTTATGTTGCGTACAAGCATATTCTTCAAACATATATGTGACTTAGATCAAACATGGCGATTTATCGTTTCGGTTATAAGGAAAAGACCACTAATTATTTTCCCATAGAACTCTATAAAAACCTTGGGCCTTCTCGGCACTTAACTAGGACAATGTCAGAAAAATCCTTAGCATCATTAAAAACTTCCTTCTGAGCCCTTGCAAAAAAAAAAATGAAAAAAAAATATATATGGTCCTATGGCGTTTATATGTCAAAATTGCAGTTATTTTCAACTTATAGCGATCAGCAGTAAATAACACGCTACATCAAAAATCATTAATTACTACAGTAGTATATAAAGTGTATACTGTATATAAAATGTATTTAATAATACATGTATGTGTTCATGTGGTAGTGTTAGATACAGGTGCATGGCTTCCTACTATCTTGGGCTAGTGGGTTAATCTTCAGCTCAATTGGAAGAGCACAGAGGCCCTGGGTTCAATCCGAAGAAGAGGCATATACATGTAAATGTCTCTGTTCAATACAATTGTTTGTGGCAGGTATCGGTTTGTTTCAGTGGATTTGACACATGAATTGATGGTCAGTAGCCGGGAATAATGAATCTGTTAAATCTGTTTATAGAGGGTGTTGCCATTCAAACTGACAAGACTTCTCCCAATACACTGCTTACCGTACCAAAGTACACTACATCATGATATATATCTTTCTTAAAAATCAACTTTTTTCCACTTGTATAAGTACTAACCAGTAAAGCTACAGTCTCATTAGAGAATTGTAGTTTATTGTTACGCTTTATTTGTTCCTTTAGACTTACATACTCTTGTTTCTTTTAGACTACTTGAAGTTTTGGATAACCTCAATCAAGACATTTGGAGGCAAAAAGGCACCACTGTTTCTTGTTGTCACACACACGGAGAAAAAATCTAAAGATGTAAGTATTCTGTCTTATAGAAATGTGAATTTTAAAGGAATAAACAGATCTCCAACCTATCGTGAGAATGCACAATTAAAGCCATACTTTAGAAATACAAACACAAGAAAAATTTTTAGCCTATAAAGTTATAAGATTGGTTAAAGTCTTTACAAAATGAATTCGTTTCTATTTATGTCTATGACTATGGGCAAAATTGGTATAATAATTCATGTCTTTAACTGTAGACGTAGTTTTTTCCACAGGGTCATAATTCCGCGGAATCTCAATTTCTGTTTAATCCGCGAGTAGAAAAGTATGCAGATTTCCTAGACTGTCACTAAATGCCTTACATTTATATAAAGTACATTTGGACAAATTTCCATGGAAAATTTGTGACCGCGTTCATACTAGTGTTAATTAATACCATGCGAAAAATGTACTACTTGATGGCTTACCTGAGCTGAAAACTGAAGTGAGCTTTATGGATCACCCGTTGTCCTGAGACTTTCCATTCGATCTGTTTTTTTCTTTTTATAAGATTTCTTATTTTTACTTCTTAAGAACCACTGCGCCAAAATTAACGAAGTTTGCACATAGCATCTTTTGCTTTAGGAAATTTTAAATTTTCAAAGCCGCAGTTTTAATTCTGTGAGCTCAATTTGACCATGTTTTTTTCTTGAACAAATATTGAAATTTAACTTTATTTTGTTTTAATACGAAATCATAGTTTTGTATTCAACAGAAAACTAAAGTTTTCTTCAATAGGAAATCCAAGTTTTACATAGAAATATATAGGAACAATCTTTAAAAATCTTCTTCTCAACAACCAGTGGGTCAGAAAAGCTGAAACTTATATGGAAGTATCCTGAGGTAGTGTAGATTCTAAATTGTTAAAATCATGACCCCGGGGGGTAGGATTGGGCCTGAAGAGGGAATCCAGGTTTTATATAGAAATATATTGGAAAAAAATCGTCTTCTCAAGAATCAGTGGGCCAGGAAAGCTGAAACCTATGGCGAAACATCCTGGGGTAGTGTAGATTCTAAATTATCAAAATCAAGATTGGGGGGGGGGGGGTAGGGACCATAATAGATGTAAGAAGAGGGAAAAACTGGTAAAGAACTGTATCACCAAAGTTACTCAGGTGAGCGATATTGCCCATGGGCCTCTTGTTTCTTCACAATATTAAAAAAATTAAGTTCTGACATACTCCATGTATAATATTGACTTCATGTAATTGAAATACATTTATATTCACAGAGAAGTTTTATATAACAAACCTGTTAGCTTTTAAAAGGAAATTATCAACATTGATATTATGAAACTGAAATTTTCATAACATGAATTATATAAATGATCAACTGCCTCTAATATGAATATAATGGCAGTGTCCATGTTAAATGCAATGGGAAACCCAAAATATGTGTAGGACGAAAAAGTAATAGAAGATGCACAAAGACAAAATGTAATAAAGATTCTATGAAAATTTCATTCAGTGGTGTAAGAGGAGTTGCGGATAAGGGATGGGTAAACCTAAAGCGTAACAAACAGATGGACGGACATCCCGATTAATAAATACCCTCCCGCTTTTCAAGCAGGGGATATAAAAAAGGACTAATGTAGGCAGGCAAGAATTACGACCCATGCCTTTTTTTGCTATTCAATGTCTGTGAATGTCTTTCTTAATAGTGTTGCAACACAAAAATTCTTTAACAGTTGTCTGTATAAAAGTGTATTTGAAATAATAATATTGTTCCCTCACTAAACCTCCCGATCAAAGATTTTATTTTACACCATGTTCAATTCCGATGAGTACTTTCAGTACTTTGATTTAAACTTGGCCCCTCTTTGGAAGGATGGGATCACAAAAGGGGGTCATAGTTTTGCATAGAAATGAGCTTAGTGTTATGGCCCAAGATCCCCTTGTAGTTAGTTCTTGTTGTTGCAAATATGTCATATGGAAGAACTTTTCATTGATGAAAACAATGATGCACACAACCAGGCTTGCTTAGGATGTTGAATCTGACCTATATTTTCCAGATGAGTGATCAGGTTTAAGTTTTTGGAGCAGGTCCATTCCCAACTCACTATAAGCCCTGCCCATGCCAGACTTGCATAGATGATGCATTTAGGAATGGAAACTATCACTTGCTTCAGATGCTGGATTTTACTTACATTTTCCAGAGGAGTGACCAGGTTTTAAGTTTTTGGAGCAGGTCCATTATTCCCAAGGAACTATTATCCCTACAAGGACCAAACTTGCATGGATAATGCATCTATGAATGTGTACTACAAGACTTGCCTCAGATGCTGAATTTGACCTACATTTACAGTCTAAACTTGCAAAGATGATGCATCTAGGGATGGAGGGATGGACACCACCAAACCTGTTTACGATTCTGGATCTGACCTCCATTTTTTGATTAGTGACCAAATTCAAGTTTTTTGAGCAGGTCTATTTCCAGGAAACGTTATGCCCTACCTGGATAAAACTTCCATGGATGAAGCATCTAGGAATGGCCACTACCAGACTTGCTTTCGATGACCCCCAAGGGCTGGACGGGGCCATAATTTGAAATAAATTGAAATATATATGGAAAAAAACTTTTAAAATCTTCTTCTCAAGAACTACTTGGTCCGGAAAGCTGAAATGTATGTGAAAGCATCATTGGGTAGTGTAGATTTTAAATTTTCAAAATTATGACGGTCATTGACCCGTGGGGTAGGGTCAAAATACCTTATTTCAAGGGGGAAATCTGGTAATTTAAAGAACAACATGATCAAAGCTACTCAGGTGAGGGATGTGGCCCATGGGCTTCTTGTGTTATAAATTTTTTTTCCACTTGGGATTTTAGCAACAGCAAATCAAAAGCATTTCGCCATAAATGTGTAGCATGCTGGATAAGCTATCTGATTAGAAACAGAAAATTAGTTTTATATATTATTCCTGTCACACTGAGGATTAACGATCAACATACGAGGGTTGATCCAAAGGTAATGTCACAACCTTGATAAAATTGCTATTAATCGACGTTAAGCAAGAAAATTATACAAGATGGAAGCTTTATTTATTTGAAATCAGACCTGAAAAATTCAAAGGAATATGATGTATACTTTCCAAAATATTAGATTTTAAACAACGTGCGTTTATGGTAGTCGCCGAAAATACATATAATGTCATATGACGGATACGCACCGTCATACTTTTAAGTGTTTCCCCTTTGTTCATTGAAAATATTTGTGATTTGCAAACATTCTCACCAATTCCACTTTCTTTAAGAATTTTTGGTACCATTATACACTCACTCTTTTCATAATTAAGCCCTCTGTCATTTTTTTTAACAGGAGCACAAGACAAACTTAAATATTCACATGTGACATGTGAATATTTAAGTTTGTCTTATTCACATGTGACATGTGAATATTTAAGTACATCTGTCTTTTTTGACAACACCAGACACCATTGAACGTTTCCGTCCGATCTTCATGTCCTCTGCTAATCATTCAGTAACCAATCACCTGCCCAAAATTGCTGAAACCATCGATTAAGGATATCCGATCCTCAGCCAGGAAGGACAACTCTTTATAATTTAATTCAAAAAGTCTGAAAATAAAGCTTGAAATGGAATTTTTTTCATGCAACAATTTTCATTTTATGCCTCTATGTATGATTCAATGTTCTTTAATGTTTTAAAAAAGTTAACATTTGAACCTCATAAAACTAAATACAACTTGCATATTTAAAAAAATCAAAGTTCTTTTAATTTAGCCTTAGTTACCAATGTTACTAAGCATGTCTTGAAATAAGAAGTGATTTACTGTGTTTTCTTTGAAAGGAAACACTTCATGCACAATGCATTATGAAGCGATGGAAGTAAGTAAGAGAAAGTAAAGTACCGAATAAGTATAAAAATCATGCAATTTTCTTTAAAAGCCTGGATACCTATGATTTTTATTCCTAAAATGTATTTCTTGATCAATTATCAATTAGAAAATATGCAGTAGGTAGTTCTAATCGCATTTCCGGAAAATTTATTTGAGATTTACTAATTTTCCCTATATAATATGATTAAATTTAAAAATGAAGTTTAAAGAAACACCGTGGGTAAATACATTTTACTTTGAGAATTTAGAGACATCTTTGTGAGCATTTTCAATTACTCAATGCCTGATTTTCAGAACCTGAGGATCGGATAACCTTAAAATGTCTCTTATTAACATTCTTTATTCTGTAAGTCTGATTAATTAACTGTCGCTTGTGATGATTTCCATATTTTGAAGCAAAAATGCATTACAACTCGTCGAACTGTTTTTCCCCATTTCAACAATCCCTTTGTTCAATTCAACAGAGTAAAACAACACTGTTTATGATCAAAAATACCATTGACATCATTTAAGGTTAGGGTTAGGGTCAATTTTGAATTTTCAATTAAAGACTAGAAAATGACGAGAATTGTGTCTTTTTAGGTCACCTGAGTAAACTTAGTTGACCCATTGCTATCGGTTTTTCGTCGTTCGTTAACATTTGAACATTTTCAGCTTCTTCTCTGAAATCTCTGATCCAATTTCAATTTCAACCAATTTTTGCATATAGCATCATTGGGTGAAGGGGAACAAAAATTGTGTATTTCATGGTCCCTGTCCCCTGGGGTCTGGGGGGTGGAGCCAAAACCACTAAATTAGTGCAATCTCTAAAAATCTTCTTTACTCCTGGACATCAAGCAGTCAAACTGTTGGCATGATTGTTATAAGATTGATTCCTCTTCCAGATTGAAAATTTTAGGGCCCTAGGGTCAGGGGTTCTGCTGTTAGGATGGTGCTCTATTGATTATATAGTGAAAATGCATTAATTCTTTGAAAATCTTCTTCTCTGCTCCTGTTTAATAAGCAAATAAACTACCTATATAGTTATGATGTGCAAGGGCTCTTCTTCCAGGATTGTGAATTTCCAGGCCCCTGGGTTATGGATTTTTTTTTTTTGGGGGGGGGGGGCTCGACTTATATACTGGAAATGAATTATTTGAAATCAGTTCCTTGGTATTAATCAAACATTTTTGATTAGCAAGAGTGCCTTTTCAAAAAGAAATACGCACGCTAACTCTCGATTCCCGCTTACATTTTGGAACCACTTAGTTAAATATAAATAGCAATTTGGCCATAAAATGTTTTAAGATGTTTTAAAAGCATTTTACGCTTTCCGTTGATTTCGATAGTGAAAAAAAGTTTTACCAAAATTATAGAGTTATCTCTCTTTGTTTTCCCAAAGAAGTAATGTTTTATGAAAATCCATATAATTATCTTTAAAAAATATTAAAAATCCATCGAATATGTTAACTTTTAAAAATTGACTTGGAGGTAGGCGGGAGAACAATACTATCGTTCACAGTTGTTATGCAATGTGTGAACCTAGGGTCAGGGGTTCATATGTGGTGGGGGGCACTTCTGATTATTGCTGAATATTACTGATTAGTTGATATGCATTTTTAGGTCACCTGAGTAAAATCAGGTGACCTATTGCTATCCGTTTTCGTCCGTCGTCATCCGTTGTGTGTCATGCGTTAACATTTGAACATTTCCAGCTTCTTCTCTAAAACCACTGAACCAATTTCAACCCAAATTTGGCATAGAGCATCTATGGGTGAAGGGGAACAAAAATTGTGAATTTCATGGTCCCTGCCCCCTGGGGCCTGGGGGTGAGGCAAAAAGCACTAAAATTAGTGCAATCTTTAAAAATCTTCTTTACTCCTAGACATCAAGCAACTGTTAGTATGATTGTAATCAGCAGTAATCAGCATTGATTCCTCTACCACAATTATTAAATTCATGGCCCCAGGGTCAGGGGTTCTAGTACTAGGACGGGGCTAAATAGGTTATATAGTGAAAATGCATTATTTCTTTGAAATTCTTCTTTTCTGCTCCTGGGCATTAAATAAACTAACCAAGTGCAAAGTTGAGTTGAAAATGACTGCCTCTTTCAAAATTGTGAATTTTATTGCCCAAGGGCAAGGGCTTTTAGTGCTAGGGAAGGGCTATATAGATTTTATAGTGAAAATACAAAAATTCTTTGAACTTCCTCTTTTCTGTGGGTCAGGGTCAGGGGCTCTAATGCTAGGGTTGGGCTATAGATTCTATAGTAAAAATAATTTATTTCTTTGAAAATCTTCTCTGCTCCAGAGTATAACGCCAAAAATAAAAATAGTTTTGTTTCCTGCTACCCGACCTACCCTATTTTTTTTGCACCCGACCCTCAAGTTTTTTTTCTCAATTGGGGAGGGGGGGGATCAGGAACTTTTGGAATTTCATGTTCCAAAACTGAGAAAAAATATATATTCAATCGGTATTTCATAAAAATATGGACTTTCATAAAATACCACTTTTTTGTGCATCAAAAGACATGAAATTTGATTTTAAATAGGCAATATTGACCTATATGGCATGTTTAATTTGTTCTTGTATAAATTCGTATTCAAAGAAACACTGTTTGAAAAAATAAAAGAAAAAGGAAAAATAAAATAATTTCCCTACCTACCTACCCTATTTTTTTCAGACTGATAGCAGGAAACAAGACTATTCTTTTTGGCCTTAAATAAACTAACGAAGTAAGTAGTTATGTTGAATAAGGCTGTCTCTTCCAAAATTGTGAATTTCATGACCCCTGGGTTAGAGGTTCTGTTGTTAGGGTGGGGCTTTATTGATTATTTAATGAAAATGCTTAAATTCTTTAAAAATCATTTTTTCTCCACCCCGGTATTTAACCAATGTACATAGTTATGAGAAGGAAGGATACCTCTTTGAGATTTGTGAATTTAAGAGACCCTGGGTCAGGGATTCTTGTGATAGGGTGGGGTTCTAATGTTTATTTAGTGAAATTTGCATGTATTCTTTGGAAATGTTTTCCTTTGTTCTTTTTGTATTATGCCAATGATCTTAGTATATATTTATGACGAAGAAAGCTGCTTCTTCCAAAAATGATTATTTCACTGGCATCTGGGAGAGAGGTACTTAGGGGAGGGGGGGGGGGGGTTAACATAGTCTGAAAATTATTTAATACTTTGAAATCTGCAAAGTTTGGTATTAATCAACAACATGATGAAATAAAATTTATAAAATTTCCAAAGCTTTGAAAGATGTGGCTCCAGTGTCAGTGGTTCCCGTGGGATGGGGTGCACAACTGATCAAGTGGAAATGCATTTTCCCTTAGTTACTCTGATCTACCTCTATAAAATGAAGGCAAATAATCATTATTAAATTAAAATTTCAGTGATATTTAGGTGATATTTGTGCATCTTTTGGTATATTGCATTTGATAATATGACACCAAATATAAAAGATATGGACACTGTGATATTACCTTTGGTTCAACCCACGTACATTTACGATGTCAACAACAGACTTGTCTTTAAGATAACTAAATTAGCATCGAAAAATATACGATAGTTTTAAAAAGGCAAGAATTTCGAAAACAAAAAAAACTGTAGATATGTAGTACTTTTTCAGAAAAACTACCTTTCGTCTGCTTTACATCCAACGTGAAAATATATATAACAATTGATACCAAATTTACAGTTTTGTTTTTAAACAACTTTTAATATGTAGAAATTGTACTGCTGAAAAAACATGTAATTCCAGGTTTTTCAATTATTAACACATAATATAGTATTTCAGTTATATAATCGTAGTACACAATCAGTATAAAAACATCTTCATGCTAACATTGTTTCCTTCTTCAGGAAATAGAAAAGTATTTTGGGGAGTTTTGGAAAGCTGTACCAGACGAGGACAGAGATTGGTTAAGTGAGTCTCTGAATGATCGGGAATATGCAGTAGGTCTGAAGACACTTAATGATAATACCAAGGAAATACTAGATTTAATGAAAAAGTCCATAGTGGAACTTTTCACAGATGAGAACAATACAAAAGTTGAATTGCCTTCTTCGTGGGCTTTAATGGAGCAGTTATTGTATGACGGAGGCTGGAAGGTTTTGTCCCTGAGTGAAATCTGGAAGCTCAACACATCTCTTCCTCATGAATACCAAATCAAAAGTAATGAAGAAATGACAAAATTTTTAAGATGTTTCCATGACAGTGGCCTTCTTTTGAATTTTGAAGAAGTGGAATTGAGGGAGCATGTTATACTAGACATTCAGTGGCTTGCTAATGCTTTCAGCAAGATAATTGCTGATGAAAACCACATCACTAAAGACTGTAAAAGAAAATTAATCAAGGAATGGAAATCCTTCAACAAGACGGGGGAACTTAAAGATAAAGTGATAAATGCACTGTGGAAAGATGAACCCTCTTACGTGAAACATAAAAATGAAATTATGCCATACATGGAGAAACTTCAAATGCTGGTACATTTGAATGCAGATGAAGCTGTATCAGAAGATGGCATGTCATGGTATGTCCCATGTATGAACAAAAAGCAGTTCAAAGCTGACTTCTGTGAAGATAAATGGGAATGCTCATCCATATTGTGCTACCGATTCACTTCGTTTGCCATGTTTGTTTTCTACAGACTGATAGCATACTGCATAAGTTCTCTTAGATGGAGTGTTGCAAAAGATGAAGACAATGATGGATGTCCATGTCTTTATCAAACAGCAGCAGTGTTTGATCACAATGAACACACTGTTGTTGTTGGCATATGTAATGACGATATTCAATTGCAAGTGCTGAGAATCAAACCGTTGACTATAGACAAAGAAGTATCAAATGAAATTGGGGACTCCATTGATAAAGCAATAGAAAAATTGACAGAAACATTTATTGACACAAAAATATTCCACAGAGGATACAAATGTCAAAATATTATTTGTGATGAGAGAGATCTATCTTTCACCCTTGCAAGTGAGCTGTCCAAAATCAAAGCTGAAGAAACGCAGTGCAAGTGTCAACTTAAGGAGAAACATATGATAAATGTACAGATGACAGTGAGTTTTTGGGAAAAGGTAAATAATGTTTATTAACTAAATTTATCCATAAGTTAAATAAAAGGTATGTAGAATCATCTTGTTTGTTTATCATCGTGTTTCTACAATTTTCTCCAAACAAAAGATACATGTAAGTGATGGATATTATATTTGGTTTTCTTTTATTTATCTACATGACTTAGAACTAATGAGATCCAATTCACTTTAAAATTGCATGATGTGATAAAAAAATTTATATTTATAAAATCCCTTTAATCTCACAAATAGCATTATGACGTACAATCTTAAATTTAACTTACTGAAAAAAATATTATAAACTTAATTTGTTTTATAAAATCTGTGTACAATTTTGATATTTATACTTCTGTATGTATCTGCTTAATTTACGTATCTAATATGTACAAGAAAGGTTAATTTTATTTCAGACAAAAATGAGTGTCTCTAAAACTCCAGTGGCCTCTGGTAGACATGAACTTGAGGGACGATCGAGATTCGCAAAACTTGGAATGGCAACAAACGATGTGTTAAATCAGGCATACAGAGATATACTAGAGATGGAAGTGCCTCCATCCGATATTGAAAAGAAAGCTAAAGCATCAGCGGTTTACAAAAGATTGCGCCCAGAGCAAGAACAACTCTTGCTAGATGCTAAGCATTTGGGATATAAGAACTTTGACATTTCATTAACATACACATTAATCCGAAACATTTGTTCAAAGATCCCTAAGCCAACAAAAGGAAAATGGGGAGAAGAGCCTGCAGCAGGAGAGGTGACAGTGGGTGACGATATCGAGAGAATTAGGATAATTCGAAACAGTTTGACTGCACACGTGAGATCAGCCTCCACCTCTCAGACAGAATTTGATGATACCTGGACAACGATGTCTGATATCTGCAGAAGACTGGAAACATTCACTGGGAAGAAATACTCAGATAACCTGAATAGCATTTATAAACTGACTTTAAAAGATGAAGATGCTTTGTTGAAGAAAGTCATGTCAAATCTGCAAAAATTAATGTCAGATATGCAAGAAGTAAAGTCAGATGTGAAAAAATTAAAGCAAAATTGATGCCGTAAAGGCAGTGCTGCCAAAATTAAACTTTTAACGCATCGAAAAACATGTATGCAGAGTGACTATATTTAAAAAAAAAAAGAAAAAAGAATCAGCCTTTATCAATTGTAAAGCAATATAAATATCATTTTTTTTTATTCATGAAAAATCAAACTTTTAGAAAGCAAACATGTGAGAGAAAATGGGCGAGCAATAGATGCAGTCATTTAAAAAAATACCCACAATGATTTTTGATTCATAACCCTCCAATCAATATTCAATACCGTATACCGGTTAAGTGGAAATTCTAGCGAGAAGCAAATTAGCGATTTCTCCTTAAAAATGGGTATTTATTTTTAGCGAGATGTAACTTTAGTGATTTTAAAAAGTTATTTTAAGAAGCTATTGCAAATAAGCGAAATTATTTTTTTAGCGATATTCAATTTTAGCGATCTTGAAACCTTTGGTTATAATGCCAAAATTAAATCCTCGCTTAAATGTCTGCTTATATGGTAAGTATTTTGTATTCCTTTTGGATAACTGTTCTTTTTATTGAGTTTCAATAGCTTTTCATTCGTAGACAGCCTTCAGAATCGCGCGCTAAAGGTATTTTTAGGATTCAACAGGATTTACTTCCCCTCTGACTTTAAATGACGCAGTTGGATGGCTCCTATATATTGAATTAATGGTTAAATATGTTCTGGAACTGTTTGATAATGATGGATAAGGACGGACTTGCCAAAAAGAATTCCACTGGGATAACAATAATCATGGTGCTCAAGACATTGAACACAGTGAAACTGGACATTTTATGTGCTTCTTAGCCAGCTATTACTAGATATTAAAGAAATTAAAAGGAAGCTATGCAAATAAACCGAGAAAATATGGAAAGAAGTCTTACCAAAATAAAGAACAAATCTATTTAACATTTTTAACGAAACATGAACTCGGCGTCCAACTCTGAGACAAAATTCAATAACAGTGGGCCTTGTGCGTATGAATTCTGTTCAGTTGATATATTTATGGAATGTCACCCGTAGTCAACCAATTTTTCTGTTGCCTCACTGGTGATAATGGCTTCATCATTAATCGGAAAATAGTACTTTTAACAAATGTATAACATTTAATCAAAATCAATTAATTTACATGAAAGTATAATGTTATAGAATTGTTAAATTCAAGAAGGTTTAGAGACAATCAAATCAAATGTCAAAGAAATAGAAACAATGTTCACCCGTAATGAAGGAGCTACAGATTAGGAGCTCGTTGAATATTGTGTAGGATATTAAAGAATTGTATGTTTTACTTAATATTATAAGAATGGAGAGTGCTGAAGAGTTCATTTTAAATGAATGTGTATCTTATACTGCTTGTACCTATTTCAGAGTAGCTGCTTAGTTTAAAATTGTATGGAAGTGTCGGACAAGAAGGGAATATGTTCATTCACGATTGCATATTTTTAAAACACAGATTTGCGATCGACCTTTGTTGCTTGTGTTGATATGTTTATTTCATTTTGCTTTTGTATTGTAAACTTAATATCCAGTGGGATCAAAGTATTACAAAATGTTTTTCGTTTATTTGAATATATTCGTATGTTATATTCTTATTAGTACACAGATTTATGATCCTACTTTGTTGCTTGTGACAATATGTTTACTTTATTTTACTTATGTATTGTGTACTTTATATCCAACATGATTCAACTAATTGACAGAATGTTTTATGAAAGTACAAAAATATACATGGATATAATTACATGCCTCTTTGGGCCCCTACTGAAAACCTTGAGGCTTAAAATGTTGACAAGCTCACTGAAACGACAGTGAATAAGGACAGGGTCACTTTGTTGATCCATCTGTATGTGAATCAGCAATCAAATCAATATACTGAATTTTTTTTTCCACCTGTTAGAGGATTTTTTGGACTAACGGGAATAACAATGCCAATATACTGTACCTGTCCATATACATCCATCAATTATTTTTCTAAAATCACAGATCTTCATATATTTATTAATTATACTTTAAGTGAATAGATACTAGACAAATTTTGACATATTCAGTAATTGCATTATGTATGTCTATAAATTTATATGTAGGCATATTGAGCAGTGAGGGATCTTTTTCGTTCTAGCGCCTACTATAACACGGGACTTCGGTTAAAATACAGTCTTATCTAAGGACTAATCTCATCTGTATGACCAGTCTTTAAAGGGGCATAGACACAGTTCAGCTAAAAAAATATTTAACTAGGGTCTTTCTAATGATCATAAAAAAATTGAACTTCATTTGTTGAGATACAAGACAGATTTAGAGCTCCAAACCTTTGTTATGTAAACAGATCGAGTTCGTGTCATGTTTTGTTTACATTGATTAATACATGTATACTAATGTATGTTTGTTTAAGGGTCCTCCACACCATGTGACTTGTGACGTATATAGAGAAAAATACTTTTACTTCCGGTTTTATAGAATTTATGCATGAACGATTTGGCCTAGCACCGTTTGTAAACAAAGAACGCATGGTATGATCACCTTGTTACTTATGGAAAAGGATGTGCATTTTTTTTTTAAATAAAAGGACAACAGGCGTCTTGGATTACGTTACATAATAATTCGTAATCAACAGGTACCTATGGGTATGACGAGAAACGTTTAGGTTATTTATACTTTCAGGCTAATCAACCGAGTCTGTTTTGATGGATGAAATTTCGGCACACTAATTTGCGCGTTTCAATAATACAATATCTCATTGTGTGTTTATAAATATTGATAAAATAGTGTGCGTTTCTAGTTTTCCTCTTTTATATTTGTCCAGTTCAGTGGCCAGTAATTACTAAATATACATAGTATGGTGACGTATGTGGAGACTTGCCAAAGTTTTTGAGTCCCGGGCAACAGGAAAGATAACTCCAAAAAGGAACTTTGATACCAAAGATTTTGAAAATGTTTTTTTTTCTACATCAGTGCATTTAATTTTAATTCAATGTTTCGATGTAATGTAATTCATTAATGTTTCTTCTCTAAAAAAGGAGTCCTTATTGATTTTTCTAGAGATGTATTTCAGAGAAAATGAGTTTTATGTACTTTTTATATAATATATACATTTCTGTAAAAAATATGTTGATTGAAAAAATTAAGTTTTTAGCTCACCTGAGCCAAAGGCTCAAGTGAGCTTTTCTGATCACATTATGTCCGGCGTCCGTCTGTCTGTCTGTAAACTTTTCACATTTTCGACTTCTTCTCAAGAACCGCTGGGCCAATTTTAACCAAACTTGCCACAAAGTATCCTTGGGTGAAGGGGATTCAAGTTTGTTCAAATGAAGGGCTACGCCCTCATTCAAGGGGAGATAATTGGGAATTAATGAAAATTTGGTGGCATATTTTAAAAATCTTCTTCTCAAGAACCACTGTGCCAGGAAAGATTAAACTTATGGGGAAACATCCTCAGGTAGTGTAGATTCAAGTTTGTTCAAATCATGACCCCCAGGGGTAGGGCGGGGCCAAAATGGCCGACCAAAGTTTTACATAGAAATATTTAGGAAAATTCTTTGAAAATCTTCTTCACAAGAATTACAAAGCCATAATTTATCATATTTATATGGAAGCATGCTCAGGTAATGTAGATTCAAGTTTGTTCATATCATGACCCCCGGGGATAGAGCGGGGCCAAAATGGCCGACTAAAGTTTAACGTAGAAATATATAGGAAAACTCCTTAAAAATCTTCTTCTCAGGAATTACAAAGCCATAATTTATCATATTTATATGGAAGCATGCTCAGGTAATGTAGATTCGAGTTTGTTCATATCATGACCCCCGGGGATAGAGCGGGGCCAAAATGGACGACTAAAGTTTTACGTTGAAATATATATATATATATATAGGAAAATTCCTTAAAAATCGTCTTCTCAAGAATAACAAAGCCATAATTCATCATATCTATATGTAAGCATGCTTAGGTAGTGTAGATCAAGTTTGTTCAAATCATGACCCCCGTGGGTAGGGCGGGGATTAAATGGCCGACCAAAGTTTTACATAAAGATTTATATAGGAAAATTCTTTAAACATATTCTTCTCAAAAATGACAAAGCCACAATTCATCAAATTTACATGGAAGCATCTTCAAGTAGTGTAGATTAAAATGTGTTCAAATGATGACCCCCGGGAATAGGGCTGGGCCAAAATGGCCGACTAAACTTTTACAGAGAAATATATTGGAAAAGTCTTTAAAATTCATTTTCTAAAAATAGCAAATCCATGATTGGTCATGGGACTACTTTCGGATTTAAACTTTACAATAAAAACCATAATCTACTTTTTCCTACCCTAAATTCTCAGGTGAGCGATGTGGCCCATGGGCCTCTTGTTATGATTATCCTGTGAGCTTAGAAATATACGAAAGGGTAAGACAAAATTTGTTGTGCTAAGTACGAAAACGCCTTCGGAAAAATTTCTTGAAACTTGTGAAATTTGTATTTTAAAAAATCCGTATAAATTACATTTTAATCCCTGGACAGTTTTTAAAGGTTGATATGCTTGTGAAAAGTAATGCTCAATAATATGAAAACATAAGTTGTGGGTGTGTGGAGGACCCTTAAAGCAAATAAATTCAACAAAGAAGTTAATTCTAATTAAGGAAAAACTGTCTTATTTTTCGATTTCATGAAGTGATGAATCGATTGGAATGCGAGATAATTATCATAAACGCCTTCGGCGTTTATGTATTAAAGAGGCTGGGTGGTTGTGGCCATTTTTAGACTATTTTGATCTCCTTTAGAAGAAGAGCCCCATATAAAGATATAATAAAATGATCAAACTAAAAAACTAAAATTTATGAAATTTTTCTTTGCCAAATGATAGTTGACAGCTTAAGATATCATATCCCCAAATTTAAGTTATTACTGGTTGTTAATTAAAAAAAACAATTTAATTTGTTGACCCCCTAGCCTCCTTAAATTATCACGCAAGCCGATCGATTGATCATCTTCATGAAATTGAAAAATCTGACAATCTGTTATTCCTTATGTTTACATGCTTTTATTCCGCCAATCCACGTGCCCAAAGCCCTGCTTCTGTCTAGCTGCTTATCCCGCCCTGCACGTGTTTTTATTTTTTTTTGGAACTGCGCCAATACATTGATGGAGAAATAAAGTACATTTCCATTTGGTAATTTTATCTCGGACAAAAAACATTGGAAATGTAAATATTTACTATTATAAAGTTTCTAGTGATTTGCTGAATTTTATTTAGTTATAAATACATTTTCAACATATAAACAAAACCAAGGCACGAACCTTGTTTACATTCTGTAGAACTTTAAGTTCTGTATCTCTTTTGTTTATGTTAATCAATAAATGATGTTAAAATTTTCGATGGTCATTAGATGATGCATAATTTAGGAATTGCAAGCATTGAAATTGGTTTTCAAAACTCAGTTGAAACTGTGTCCATGTCCCTTTAAGTCCCACAGTGGGATTCGAACCCTTTAAATCCCACACTGGGATTCCAACCCTTTAAGTCCCACAGTGGGATTCGAACCCTTTAAGTCCCACACTTGGATTCGAACCCTTTAAATCACACAGTGGGATTCGAACCCTTTAAGTCCCACAGTGGGATTCGAACCCTTTAAGTCCCATAGTGGGATTCGAACCCTTTAAGTCCCATAGTGGGATTCGAACCCGTGAGATAAGGATTAACTCCTTACTTCCCGAAACCAAGAGGAGATGCTCTCACTGGACAGGCGGCTATATCAAAAGGATTTGTATAGATGTAATATGAATCGATTAGTTTTTATCACATATTTTCCCCTTTATCCCGTTGATATAGCTCATGTGATATCGTTTATGTATCAACACTATGTATTTCTACGCCGCACGACTTGATGTAAATAAACAGATACATGTGTATGATAGAGAGAATGAATTATTTGTCAAATTTCACTTAATTCAATGTATTTTAACAAAATTTCATTCCTGAACTAAAAAAAAATAAGCGCTGAAATATTTTTTTTCTTTTATATTTGTACGAACTATTTCATACAGCGTAATTTTATTTATTACGTTATTTGGTCTGAGGTAACCGAAAAGGAACTTTGGATCAGAAATAACGACAAAATACACAATGTCATCTATAGTGAACAAAAATATGTGATAAAAAGAATCTCCCATGGTTTGTGATTTGATATGATTTCTATCCAACTTGTGTGTGTTTTCTATACCCTCGCCAAGGCTCGGGGATAGAAAACACACAACTTGTTGGATAAAAATCATATCAAACCACAAACCATGGGAGATCCTATATATATTTCATGTAATGATGAAAAAAATGGGCTTCCATTTGTAGGTATTTTAAGTAGAAAACAGTTTTTAAGGTAGGATTCTTCTGACACAAAACTATTTCTTGTATTTAAAAATTTATGAACGAATGGGTGGACTTAACTGGTCAGAAAAATCGCCGTAGATTTAAGTTTCATGTAATATTTATTTTTTCCATCATATAAGCCCCCAAAATCTCAACCGTGTATTCATGGTACAGATGGGAATATAAAACGTTCTTTTCTGGGTAAACTTAATACTAGTAAATATCGAAGGCATGGTGCTTAAAGATTTCTTGAATATCAATAGATAATCAGGGTCACGCATTTTTCATCGTCTGAATACATAGTCAGCGCATGTTTGTCGGCTGTTCTGAAGAAAACTGTAGTTATATATTAGACAAAATAATGTTATATTAAAAGAAGTTCCGACAAATGTGCTTTCATACTTAATTTAACAAAAAAAACATGTTGAAAACAAACTTCTCGCTTCCATTGTTGTTATGATTGCGATTTACTTGTTAAATATTACAAAATATTACTTGATGTCCACCTGCGAGTGTACTCGTGACATTGTATTCTTCTGCCTGACCTCTTTGTAAATCATATCTTTGAGCTTGTTTGGTTGCCGCTTTTAGAAGCAAATTACATTTTGTTTTAAATTTTGTGTTTCACCAAACTTTTTAAATAATTTCATTTTGACATCGCTGTAAAATGCTTAACACGTATTCGAATTTTTGGAGAGAGAGAGAGAGAGAGGGGAGGATAGAGAGAGAGGTATATCAACAATGACGCGGATCGGTAGCCCTGCCTTCTATAAATATTGATTATGTGACCTAAAACCCACTCCGGGTACATCCCGAATTCCGGAAGACGACACTTATGTACCGTTGCTTCAATTTTGATACATGACAACAGGGCATTGATTTTGTATAAATGTTTCACCCACAATAACCAAGTATAAGTAGCTCTTTCCATTGCTTGTAATATATTTTGGATTCACTTCATTTACAGCTTGGAGAACAGTTATATGTTTGTTTTCTTGGGGTTTCTTTTTTTTTTGAGGGGGAGGGGGGAGGATGGGACATTTTTTTAAATCAAAGTCAGTTTCTTTGTGTCAACTTGAATTTCATGTTAAAGGATTTACATTATTATAAGATTTTTGTTTTAATTTCTTTTTCTCTTAAATTTCAAAAATTACAAACATTGTAAATTAAATGCTTTTAAAACACAAAAGGGAATGATTGATTGATTGATTGTATACTGTTTAACGTCCCTCTCCAGAATATTTCACTGATATCGAGACGTCACCATTGCCGGTGAAGGGCTGCAAATTTAGGCCTATGCTCGGCACTCAGGGCCATTGAGCAGGGAGGAATCTTTATCGTGCTACACCTGCTGTGACACGGGGCCTCGGTTTTTACGGTCTCATCTGAAGGACCGCCCCATTTAGTCGCCTTTTACGACAAGCAAGGGGGTACTGAGGACCTATTCTAACCCGGATCCCCGCGGGAACAAAAGGGAATGAATTTTGTGCTTAAATTTCATTCTTCATCAATCTCTGTCTGTTTTGTTTGTTTTGAACCTATTTTATTGTATAATTCATGCAAAGGGAATGGTAACAAGTTCTTACAACTTAGAAAAATCTTTCTCATTGTAAGTTTGCTCAATTTCTAGAATTGTTTTTAAAATAATTATGATAAAAACTTTGATTGTATGACGATGCAAAAATTATGTTGATTTATATAACTCTGTCAGTTTGTTCAAGATATGTCACTTAAAAATAGAAAATAAAGTAGACTATAACTTGACAGATTATAATTCCAGTCATAAACATTTGTTGATCTATGAAAAGTACCCTCCACAAGGCAGCATTTGACAAAATGTTGTACATAAGATGTAAATAAACCTGAGATAATTCAAAATGTCTTGATCTTCTTCAGAGAAGGCTACATTTAAATACCCCCACTTTGAATAATAGGGGTCATCCAGGTTCAATCAAGGATGTACGAGGATATACCCTGGGTTTTATTCCATGCATCCTAAGGCCCTTGGCCTCAGACATTGCCGTTCAGTGGATAGACACCCCCTCTCAATGGTTACACACGCTCTCTCAGTAGTTGGACATGCCTACTCATTGGTTAGACACGCCTACTCATTGGTTAGACACGCCCACTCAGTAGTTAGACACAGCTACTCAGTAGTTGTGTCTACACAACCTACTCAGTGGATAGACACGCTCACTCAGTAGTTAGACATGCCCACTAAGTGGTAAGACACACCATATAGCCACACCCAATTATTGGTTACACACGCCTGGTCGGTGGTTACACAAGCCCGATCAGTAGTTAAACACGCCCTTTCAAAAGTAAGATACGTCCACTCTGTGGTTAGACACACCCACTCAATGGTTACAGAAGCCCACTAACTGGTTAAACACATCTTCTCAATGATTACATGCCCAGGTTAGGCATGCCCACTCAGTAGTTAGACACACCCACTCATTAGTTACACACACCAACTGTGGTTAGACACACCCAGTGGTTACACAGGCCCACTCTGTGGTTAGACACACCCAATCAGTGGTTACCATTAGCCATGCCCAACTGTGGTTAGACACACCCACTCAGTGGTTACATAGGCCCACTCTGTGGTTGGACACACCCATTCAGTGGGTACCATTAGCCATGCCCATCAGTGGTTAGAAATACCCACTCAGTGGTTACACACGCCAACTCAGTGGTTAAACACAACTTCTCACTGGTTAGACACACCAGTAAGTGGTTCGAAATGCTCACTCAGTGGTTACATACACCTACTCAGTTGCTAGAGAGATGTATAGTACATGATATAGTCGTTTGAAATAGTTGTTCCAGTTTTCACGAGATTTTGTTATCATGTACACCTGGGTGTCATCGGCATAGCAATGGTATTTGAAACCGTGCTGACGACAAATTTCTCCAACTGGTTTAGAAAAAAGACAATAAAGTTTTGGTCCCAGAACGGATCCTTGTGGGACACAAAACTGAAGATGGCAAGGGTCTGACGATTCCGTTCCAATGATAACACGTTGTTGCCTGTTAGTAAGGTATGATTTTATCCACGCTAATGATTTTCCACCAATGCCATAAGATGTCTCTAAACGTTGGAAAAGTATCGTGTGGTCTATGACATCAAAGGCAACTGAGAGATCAAGGAGTACCATTACAGCAGATGATTGATTATCAAGGGCCTCCATGATGTCATGATTAACTCGAAGAAGTGCTGTCTCCGTAGAATGTTATGGCCTGTAAGCTGATTGCAAAGGGTCCCTTAAAAGATTTTTGTCAAGATGTTCAATCAGGCGTGTGGCAACAACTTTTTCTAAAATTTTAGATACAAAAGGGAGGTTTGAGACAGGACGGTAGTTCTTATAGACGTCTTTATCGAGTTCAGATTTCTTCAGTAGTGGTCTTACTAATGCCTCCTTGAACAGTGATGGTACATCTGATTGGTCGAATGAGCTATTTATAATGTTGGTAATAAATGGAACTATAGCATCCAAGTTCTTTTTTAAAATCGACGTCGGGAGTGGGTCAAGTGCACATGCTTTGGTGGGTGCTTTTCCTAGAATTGCTCTCACTTCGTCGTTTCTTGTGGGTCTGAAGTTCAGCAATGGCTCGCCGCTGAAAGGAATATCCTTATCCATAGTTCTTTCCATGTTAAAGGTAGTAAGTTCTTTAAGACCATCTCTAATTGTGGCCACTTTGTTAATGAAGAATTCAGAGAATGCGTTAGACAACTCTGTATTAGATGTCGACGATGGTAGAATACTTTCCTGTTGTTTTCCCATCAGTGACTTCGACAATTTGAATATTTGCTTGTGGTCCTTACCGCATTCTTCAATCTTTTGAGAAAAATAGTCTTGTTTGGTTTTATAGACAAGTCTGGCTGTCGTAGAACACATGTCCCTAAAAATTTGTCGATGAACCTCTAGTCCTGTCCTACGCCAAATTCTTTCGGCTCTGCGTCTTTCGCGTTTTGCATCACAGAGTTCTTCGGAAAACCACTGGGTGTTTGGTCGAAGTAGAACAGATTTTGTACATAGGGGAGCATGTTTTTCCACAGCGTTTCGTAATGTGGTGTTATAATGGTCAACTAATTGAGCAACAGGCAAACTTTTATCAGGTATTTCAAGATTGATATCCTTTGATAACTCATCTAGATCGACATTTTTCCATTTGCGGAAAGTTATTTCTTTCTTAATGCGCTTTTGTTTGCTACATGATAGCACAGCTTGAATGGAATAATGATCACAAAACGAGTTTCTATGTGCATCGAACAAGTTTGGATCTTGCACTGATGGTTTGGTCTTAAGTATAGTGGATTCAGATTTTGTTATGAGGAGATCCAGTATATGTCCACGATTATGGGTAGCTGTGGTAATATGCTGTGTCAAGTTATGATCTTCTAATGTTTGTAGAAACCGTACAGCATTCGGGTTATTTTCATCGTCGATGTGAAAATTAAAATCTCCAGTTATTATAGTCTCTTGAGGGATGGTGACAGTTTGATCAAGGTAAGAATTCCATTGGTCAAAAAATAGACTTGAAAATTGCTTGCAAGACATAGGGACCTGGATGTCGACTAATCTTCTTAAATTAAACCAGGATAAAACCGAATTGATAATTTTTACAACGAAATTCCAATCCAAAAATGTGCCAGTCTTACAACTTAAAGTTGGAGAAAGTGTCATTAACAGTGTAACGTCTGTACGTAATCTAGGCATCCACTTTGACAGATTTCTCACTATGGAAAAGCAAGTAGCGTCCATCATTAAAACATGCAATTATCATCTCAGCAACATTGGAAGAATTGGGAGTTTCATCTCAACTGATGCGTGCAAAACTCTCGTGAACTCCTTAGTTACATCTCGACTGGACTACGGGAATAGTATAATTGTTGGCATAAACAAGAGTTCTGTGGAAAGGTTACAAAAATCCAGAACAATGCAGCTCGACTTATTACAAGGAGACGAAAATACGACCACATCACTCCGATTCTCGCTAAATCTCATTTGCTGCCAGTGGAGTTCCGGCCAAAGTATAAAATCCTCGTTTTTACCTACCTTGCTGTGTACGGTTTTGCGCCCGAATACTTACAGGAACTTGTAACTGTCCGTCAAACTAACCGCACACTAAGATCTGACGGAAGTTTGCAGCTCAATTTACCAAGGGTGCGCACCGGGACGTATGGTGAAAGAAAATTTAGCTATTCTGCTGCCCATTCATGGAACAGTCTCCCGGTGCATATTCGCCAAGCCAAATCCATCCAGTGTTTTAAAAAAAAAATTGAAAACTCATTTTTATAAATTACCATTTGATTAACTTTTTAGATTGATCTATCGATTGAATTTTTATTTGTTTTTCTTAAACATTATATTTTTTAGTCCTTGTAATTGTATTTTTATTCTTATTTTATATCAAAACAAGACATTTTCAATATAAGTAAAAATTTTATTTTTAGAGTAATATATGCAATGTTTTATGTACATTCTATGTAAAGCGCCTTAGGGTGATATTTTTATTATATAGGGCGCTAGAAATTTATATTATTATTATTATTATTATAGTGGGTTTTTTTTTTTGGAACGGTCATTTGGGGTTTTAGAATTTTTTCATTACTTATGCAGTAATATACCTTCATCACCTGCATACGGAGTGTATATATCTCAGTTGATTCTATACGCAAGAGCATGCTCTATGTATGAACAATTTCTAAGACGAGGTAAATTATTATCAAGTCGTTTGATGAAAAAAGAATATCAGCAGTCTCATTTAAAGTCATTTCGTAAGTTCCATGGTCGATACAATGACCTTGTCAGTAAATATAATTTATAATTGAGGTACATATAAAACTGCTTGGTGTTAAAATTTTGAGGTTATCGTGTGCATGTTTTTAACCTAAAAATAATCCACATAAAGAGAAAATTTCAACTCATTTTTACATGTCTTTCTCGCTTCATATTAAATATGTTGACTTTGGGAATTTAGCGTAGCACGAACCACATCTGAAACCACTATGAAAAAATAAAAATGTCATAACTCTGTCAAAAATCATTGAAACGACATTCAAAATCGATTTGTATCTCAAAATACACTGACTTCACCTTTACACTCACCCACCTAAAATCAGCTCTATACATGTATCTGCAACTAGGGTTTTAAAAAAAGTGTACGGAAAACCAAGTAAGGCAGACAGACTAACAGACTCAGAGGAGGCCTATAGTCTCCTCCGGTTTCACCGGTAGGGGACTTATAAGTGGGGGGAGGGGTAGATATTTTCCATTGCTATTAAGTTTTTGAATTTAAAGCATCACCATTTTTGAAATATTTTTGATTATAAGTGAATGGTTCAATA